AGCCGGGTGCCCCCGTAGGTTGGCGCCCTGGGCGGCTGCCCGGCTAGCGCACCCCTTAGTCGGGCCCTACCTACGGTGAGGCGCTCAAGGCACAGTTATGAGACTCTTCCCAGCCTCCCAGGAGTGGGGAAGTTACTATCTCCACTAGAGAGGGGGAAGCGGAGACAAACATTTAAGTCTGCCCTTCCCCAGTCGCTGTCGCTCCCAGCAACTGCAGCTCCGAGTTGGGAGCTTTGGCCCTGCTGTAAATCCGATCCCAGTTAGGCACCCACGGCGGAAGACCCCACAAAGCAGCCACCACTTGTAAAAATCCGGGCCAGTGATTTGCTGAAGATCACGATGGACATTTGTGGCAAAGTCGGGGTAGAACCCAAAGCCTCCAAGTTCCTGGGCCTGGGTTTCAGCCGCAAAATTATCCTTCTCCCATATATTGGAGCACTAATACCACACCAGGCGCCACGGAGGAGTAAATACCTCTTGCTTCGTCTCGAAGGAAACGTCCTTTTCTTTTCTGGCTTCTAGTTGGCAAGTTTTCTTCATGGCTGGCATCGTGGCTGGACATCTGCCCCCTCCTGCTGTCAGCCTGGCCTCCACCAGGCTGGCCTGACACCTGATCGTAACTCAGTGGCTCTCCACCATGGACACGAGGCGTTCTCCCATCAATAGCGCTGCCGTGTAATTTACCTTCTGCACCAACAGCAGCTCCACTCAGGGCAGGCTCCCTGTCATAAAGGGACCCCAAGGCTCCTAAATCACCTTTACAACCACGGACAGCTGCTCCACCTGGGAGAGAATCTCCGCCACCAAGTGAACCCACGTCCCAAGCTCCTATGAACTCACCACCCATTCCAGAGCCTGCCCCACCTAGCTCTGAGGCATCCAGCCCACCTGCCCCAGCTGCACTGGTGCCACCAAACCTACCACCCTTCCCATAGAAAGGCTCCATGCCCCCTGCATCACTGAGACGAGCGCCTGGACCAGATTCTGCTCCACTTGCCCCGTTGTGCTTACCAGAGAGAAGCCCCCTGCCTCCGGCGTCTGCTGATCCAGCGCTGGCTGCACTTAGCACAGAACCCTGGCCTGCCGGAGCACCCCGGCCACCTGCAGCAGCACCGCCAGCCTCACCTCGCGTACCCTCTTTGCTGCAGTGAGAACATGCCCCACCCAAGCCAGCACCACCCCCAGCACGGCCCGTGTCAGCGCCTCCTAGTGCAGCATCTCCCCCCCCAGTGCCATCTTGGCCACCTCTAGCACCAGCTCTGCCCGGGAGGGAGCCCATGCCCCCTGCACCTGCCAATCCAGCCCCAGCTCCACCAAGGCCATGGCCACCTAAAATAGGGCCCGTGCCAGAGAAAGCGCCCATCCTTCCTGCACCACCTGTGCCAGGGCCAGCTGCCGCTAGCCTCCCGTCCTTAGCACGGAGAGAGCCCTCGCCCCCAGAACCGCCTAGACTAGCGCCTCGCATGCCATCCTCGCCACCGAGAGACACCATGCCCCCTGCACCAAACCCACCAGCACCAGCTCCGCCCAGCCTGCCATAGACAGACCCCATGGCCCCCGGACGACCGCCCAAACCATCGCCACCTGCATCGGTCCCAGCCCCGGCTCCATCTACCACTCCACTCCTACCATGGGGAGACCGTGTTCCTCCTGTCCCACCTGCGCCAGCACTAGCGCCACCAATTACAGCCTCATCTCCAGCAGCCTTGACCGCACCTATCACAGTTCCCTTGCCACACGCGTCAGCTCGACCGGCGCCAGCAGCCCCAGCCCCGGCCAGCATACCTTCCTGATCACAAACCGAGCCCATGCCTCCTGCGCCTGCTGAGCCTGCACTGGCTCCACCCTTCATATCATCCTTGCTGGAGAGGGACCCCAAGCCCACCAATCCAGGACCACCCCCATCAGCTGCTCCGAGGATAGCACCTTGGCTCCCAAGTGCACAGCTGCCTCCGGCACCATCTCGTTCAATGCCAGCCCTGGCTCCACCTTGCAGAGCATCCTGGCTGGGAAGGGAGGCTGGACCGCCCAGCCCAGAGAGATCTGAGAGACCAGCACCCGCTCCTCCTGCCATTCCCGACTTGCCTCCTGCACCACCCAGCCCAGAGAGATCTGAGAGACCAGCACCCGCTCCTCCTGCCGTTCCCGACTTGCCCCCTGCACCACCCAGTCCAGGGAGATCTGAGAGACCAGCCCCCGCTCCTCCTGCCGTTCCCGACTTGCCCCCTGCACCACCCAGTCCAGGGAGATCTGAGAGACCAGCCCCCGCTCCTCCTGCCGTTCCCGACTTGCCCCCTGCACCACCCAGTCCAGGGAGATCTGAGAGACCAGCCCCCGCTCCTCCTGCCGTTCCCGACTTGCCCCCTGCACCACCCAGTCCAGGGAGATCTGAGAGACCAGCCCCCGCTCCTCCTGCCGTTCCCGACTTGCCCCCTGCACCACCCAGTCCAGGGAGATCTGAGAGACCAGCCCCCGCTCCTCCTGCCGTTCCCGACTTGCCCCCTGCACCACCCAGTCCAGGGAGATCTGAGAGACCAGCCCCCGCTCCTCCTGCCGTTCCCGACTTGCCCCCTGCACCACCCAGTCCAGGGAGATCCGAGAGACCAGCACCTGCTCCTCCTGCCGTTCCCGACTTGCCCCCTGCACCACCCAGCCCAGGGACATCTGAGAGACCAGCACCCGCTCCTCCTGCCATTCCCGACTTGTCCCCTGCACCACCAAGCCCAGGGACATCCGAGAGACCAGCATCCGCTCCTCCTGCCATTCCCGACTTGCCCCCTGCACCGCCCAGCCCAGGGAGATCCGAGAGACCAGCATCCGCTCCTCCTGCCGTTCCCGGCTTGTCCCCTGCACCACCCAGCCCAGGGACATCTGAGAGACCAGCACCCGCTCCTCCTGCCATTCCCGACTTGCCCCATGTATCACCTTGACCAAGACCAGAACCACCAGGTCCCCCTCGCTTGTTATCCTTACCAGAGAGAGAGTCCATGCCCCCCACATCGCCTCCAACTGTACCAGAACCACCAGCTCCTCCTACCACACCAGACTTGCCCCCTGCACCATGAAGACCAGCAAGATCTGAGAGACCAGCACCCGCTTCTCCTGCCATTCCTGACTTGCCCCCTGCACCACCCAGACCAGGACCAGAACCACCAGCTGCCCTTATGCTGTCCTTACCCCAGGGGGAGCATGTGCCCCCTGCACCCCCCGAGCCAGCACCAACCCCATCAGCTGCCCAGAGGTTAGCACCGCTGCTCCCAAGTGCACCGCTGCCTCCGGCACCATCTCGTTCAATGCCAGCCCCGGCTCCACCTCGCAGAGCATCGTTCCCATAGAGGGAACCTACATCCCCTTTATCACCTAGACTAGAACCAGAGCCACCAGCTCTCCCAGGCGGACCATCCTTGTCATGGAGGGATGCTGTGCCCCCTGCTCCTCCAGATCCAGCACCACCTTCCATGCCAGGGAGAGAGCCCCCATCTCCCGGGCCTCCTAGCCCAGGACCACCAAGAGTGGAACCTCTACCATCTAATGAGCGCAGCCCCCCTCGTCCTTCTAGTCCACCGCCAGATGCAGCCGCGCCCACCATCGAATCCTTGCCATGCTGGTCGCCTTCTACCACTGCCCCAGCCCTGCCAGCTCCATCTAGCTTCAAACTCTGCCCATAAATCTTTCTCCCAAGTCCACCTTCCTCACTAGCCAAGCCCCCAAATTTATTCCCATCTGCCACCGAATCTCCACCTGTCCCTGCTGCAGAAAATGGATCTTTCCCCCTCCTTCCACCCTCCCCCACCTGCCCAGTTAGCCCAGCTTTTCCCAGAGAACCAAATCCCCAATCAGCATCCACCGAGGAGCCATCAAGTTCTCTGCTGCCATCTCGGCTACTGCCAGACTGGCCATCTTTGCCCGTTCCGGTGCTTTTAAAGTGATGTTCTCTCTGGCCAAGTTTCTTAGCACCCGCTTCATCTGCCTGCCATGCAGTTTGATCAGTTCCAGCCCCTTCATCCTGTGTCCTCTTTCCTCCGGCTGCTGCATTGTTGGGTTGGAGAAGATGCCATCCGTGGGAGATAAAAGACAAAAGCAAGAGGAAACCAGTGACCAAAAATCTCACCCCCCCCAGGAAACACCACACGCTTGAAACAAACAATTTGTACAAAAGGGAGGAAAACGAGAGCATTTGATTTTGCACTACAATTTGTAGTATTTTATCCCAGGACATTTCACAAGGCAGAAATGTAATGTTTCTCCTCAAGGAGACAGTCACCCCAAGAATATATCAACCTCAGAACTTTGCATGTGCCCAGTGGAAGTTTCAGACACAAAGTTTCTCAGTCAAAGCCCAACATTTGACGTAGAATTGGGTCTGTTCTCACCCCAAAAGGGACTTAAAGCTGGTGTGAAAGACAGTCCGACTTCTGCAGCTCCAGAAAGAAATTGTAGTTTTCAGAAGTTCATGTCAATTATTTTACAGCGTTTCTTATTTACTCAGGTAACTATACACAAAGGGGGCTTCATTTATACGTGCTAGCACTCTTGGCAAAGTGTGTAACTATGACCCATACGCAGCGATTTCATACTCCCTGTTACAAATCTCCCCGTCAAACATTTCCATACCCTCGCTGTCACAGCTCCTCGCCATTTTCATAAGTATCCCAAGGGTCAACAAAGTCAGGTTAATTTATGCCATGGGAAAAGCTAAAGAGATTTTATATTGGGGGGGGGAGCCATCTCTGGCCCAGCAGACCCAAAGCCCCATCTAGGAAAATGGGATGCTGTGGTTTTCAGCTGTTGCCGAGAGTGGAAGTCAACAGGAAAGTCCGTTATGGCAGTTGGAGCCGACTATTTCATGCTCCTCCCTGAATTTCATGCCTGGCCCTTCCAGCTCGCTTCTGCTGAGCACCAGAGACTCCTTAGGGGACTTGCTCCGGGGCGGCTAAACAGACCCGCGGGACAGCCAGTATTGGAGACAATCAGGGTATGTGTAGACTACATGCCTCTGGCGACAGAGGTATATAGATTAGGCTACCCGGCATAGGAAAATGAAGCGGTGATTATTTTAAAAGGCATTTGTCGACCTCCCCGTTATGCCTCGTGGGATGAGGCTAACCGGGAAGGTTGACAAATGCCTTTGACGTCGACCGCGGTGCGTCCAGACTAGCGCGCTGAGCCGACAAACAGCTGATTGGCTCAGCGTGGCAGCCATTTTAATTTAAATGAAGCAGCGATTATTTAAATCGCTGCTTCATTTTCCTATGCCAGGTAGCCTAATCTACATGCCTCTGTCGCCAGAGGCATGTAGTCTAGACACACCCTCAGAGATCTCTCAGAGGAGTCTGCTCGAAGCCAACAGGGACCAGCAGTGGCCAGAAGCCAGGGACAGACTCATAGCGAGTTGGCCAAGGGACCCCCAGTGGATCCCAACCATAGCTAGTGGCTGTCTGAGTCCGCTGGCATGTTGTTTGCAAACCTAGTTGGTCCTAGAGACACCGTAGGGAGGCCCTGTCTCAGTAGCTCCAGCTGAATGAAAGGCCAGTTCTGGCTGGGTGTGTATCTATGGCAAGTTTAACAGGAAGCCTTCCCCACAGACTAATCCGCGGCCCGCTGCTGGGTGTGTTTTCCCCTCATCACTCACCAAAGATGAGCTGTTCTGAGGGAGGTCTCAGTTAAATAGCAAAATCCCTAACTCCGGTTTCATGAGGTAGCCTTAACCCCTTGAGGAGGCCTGGCTCTCCATGGGTAGCTGAGCCCAACAGCTTAGAAAGGATCAATCGGAGTCAGCTCCACAGTTCCTGTCATGAGACGCTGAGGGAAAACCATGGACTCTTTCTTTCTTGTACCCCGCCCGCACCTGCATTCACCGAAAGACCACAGACGCGGGGCCTCACCCCCACCACACTCCAAAGGACAGAGCCTGGATTGCAGGGTTGGGTTCCTGCCCCTCTACATCTCCTACCCAGGGAGAAAAGACTCCAGTCCTGTGTCTAGGGTCATCTGCACCTAAAGTGTAGCTGCTCCTTAGGTGAGTTAACTACAGCTGTACCCTACACACTGTAAATACGGCTAACAGGCCAGAGATTTGACTGTTCAAGTTTCCTCATCTGGTCCCAGTTGGGCAGTAGATCAGCAACTTAGTGAAGACAAAAGATAGTCGAGCTGGATATCCTACTTAAGAGGACTGTACTTGAGAAATAGCAGCACTTGGGCCCGATTCACGGATTTCCAGGCCAGAAAGGTTCTGCCCGATCTATCACGTAACCCAGGCCAAAGATTTTCTTCATCAAGTTCATATCTCATGGCCTTCACAGCCTCCTCTGGCAAGGAGTTCCACAGGTTGACTATGCGCTGTGTGAAGAACTTTCTTTTATTAGTTTTAAACCTGCTACCTATTAATTTCATTTGGTGTCCTCTAGTTCTTCTATTATGGGAACTAATAAAAAATAGAAGGGAGGCCACCAGGTGCGCTCGTGGGGGCCCCAGAAGAAAGCCACGCCGAAGTGAAGGGAAGAATGGAGCGCTACTCACGTTCCACCTCGAGCCAAGCGCTAGAGGAGCAGATGCCGATGTCGAGGGTGTAAGGCCCTTCGTCGGCGAGCTGCACGTTTCTGATCGCTAGCCGGTGGGCCAGGCCGTCCGGGGAGATGGAGATTTCGTACTTGTCACTCCCCTCAATGGGGCGTTGTCTATAGAGCCACACGGCGCGGGAGCAGGGGGTGTGGAGGCTGCACTCGAAGGCGGCGTTCCCTTGCTCACGGCAGCGTGCCCCACGGAGTGGGTGTCGGAAACGGCAGGGCAGGGGCTGTGAGTCGGGAGCAGGTTCCCAGAGGTCGGTTAGGGGGAAAAGCTGCACTAGAGGGCAGAGACGTCTCCCCCACTCTGGGAGGCTGTAGAAACACTGTCACCTGCCCTCCCTGCTATTCCAGCCTCTCCAGGAGACGCACAAAACCATCTCAACGCAAAAGATTGTTCTTCCCTTCCTGCTGGAGGCCACTAGGGAACGTTACCGTAGGACTCCAGCCTCCGCCACCCCTCTGCAAGTCTTGTATGGGGCGGCTCATTCCCCTTCCATGGGCCGACAGGAACAACCCACGTCTATAGCCATTCAGCAGGCGGGACAGGGCCCCTTCCCGTGAAAGGATCAGGTGGGACTCCAAGAGTTGGTCTCTCCAAGTTTGGACGGAGGAGTGTGGCCGAAGGGGGTTGCTTGACTCATTAGGACTAAACGTGGATGGAGGGAGGCATGGAAGGAAATGAACTTTTGTTCAGGCAGAAGAACCACTACCCTGAGATGTGCACCTGGGTCTAGTTCAGAGCGGGACAGGAATAGATTTGTTTTCACTCCCGAACTAGCAGTGCTTGGGTAATGGTTGTACCTGTAGTAATGGTTGGCAGGATTTTTTTTTGGGGGGGGGAGGGAGGGATTAAAAGAAAAATGGTCATGCTTTATGTAAATGACGAGGCTCGTGGCAAGGGGTAGGGGACTGATGATCAGCTGTTTGTCGGCAGATCGGGGCAGTCTGGACGTGCCGCGGTCGACAAGGAAGCCTTTGTCGACCGGCGCAGGTATGTAGTTTAGACACACCCCCTGCATCCTCCCCACGTGCTCCTGTTGGTCAACAGAAGGTCCCCCATTGCCAGAGGGGCCCCCAGTCTCTGCAGCTCTGCTGTGGCCCCAGGGAAGTCCCCGGGTCCTGGTGCAGGGGCAGGGAAGGAGGGTGGGGATCGGATCTGGGCTCTTATCACACCCCGGCAAAGGGCACGTTTCACACGCTCAGGTCCCTACAGTCAGCGTCGAGCTCCGTGGAGAAGACATCCACGTCTTCCACCTTGATCTGGTACACGCCGGCATCTCCCGGCTGCAGCTGGGCGACGGTGAAGCTGTACTTGTTCCCTGCCTGCCGCAGGCAGTGCTTTGCTGTGTCCTCGTTGACGCCATAATTGATCATCTGGCCGTCCTGAAGGCAGAAGAGAGGCCACGGCCGAGCTAGAGCGAGGCACTTGCTTAGGGGGAAGCCACGGGACGGGTTTATCACATCGGCCTCAGACCACCTGCAGTCCCCGCTGCAATACGCTACGTGAGCAACCCTCCACTCCTAGCGCACATGCCCCCAGGGCCAAATCCCTCCCAACCCATCAGGGCAAATTCACCCCGGTACAACTCCATTCATCTCCCCGGTCACCCAGCTCCAGCCTCTGGCAGCCAGAGGCGTGTGGACACCGGAGCAGGGGGCTGCACCCGGACCCAGTAGAATGCTTAGAACTGGAAGAGACCTTGCCAGGGCAAGTCCAGGGGTGGGACTAGGAGCAGCCAGTCCACAGCGCGGACCGAGCCAGGCCACATGGCGCTCCAGGGGCATTTTAAAAGATTTGGTGCTCTGGCTGCTGCTGCCGCATCCTGTGACCATCCCACGGAGGATGCTGATGGACTCAAGTATTCCATCCTTATTGCAATCCCCTCATCTTCTGCTCTCCAACTCTTCGGCCACTCCCCCAGCACAGGAGGACTCCGGAGTCAGCCGAAGCGATTACAGTTTGGACACACTGGAAATCAATTCTCTCAGTGGCTGCCCAGCGAATCGGGCAGGTTGAGAGTCAGATCTGACGTGGCCATCGTAGTCCCAACATGGAGTCCAGCCACTCCATCCTCCCACCTTACCTTGTACAGATAAATTCTGCTCCTGGGATTTTTCAGGTCTATCTCCAGATGGAACGTAGCACTCCCCTCCCTATTGGCCTTGATGTGTTTCAGGTTTGTGACGCTGTAGATATACTGTGGAGGACAGACGCAAGCACATGGCCAGGCTCGCTTGGACAGATCTTCCATTAGATCATCAGGACGCTGCGGGACCCACTCTGCCCGCCGCTGTGTCAGTGCAGCAACAGGAGCAGCACTAGCCCTCTGCCGTCTGCTGCGTTAGGCAAGCGAGATGGTTCCCACGGCCTCCTGGTCCCTCCGATTCGGAGCAAACACTATGGGAAGAATTTTCCAGTACGGCAGCCTCTGCTGGTTGACCTAATTCTACAGTTGCGTGTGTAAATCAGCACCTAGGTATATAAGTATCCATCACAGGCACCTACATACAAAACCCAGCCCCCCAATTAAATCCACCCAGGCCTTGCACAGCAAAGTCTGCTGAACTGGTAAGAACTACACCTAGGTCAGGCTGGGTTCGGGCCTTCCTTGTAGTGTTGCTGCCAAGACTTCGCTGCCCTTGTTCAAAAGCATCCAATTGACCGTGGCGTTTAAATCCCATTTTCTAAAGTGACTTGGGCCGACGGGAACCTAAGTCTCATTGAAATCCCAGGGGGGCTTCAGGGCTGTTTTACCTGCTGTTGCTTGTCCTCTCGGTCCTTCTTCATCTGCTGGAGCTTCCTCAGCATCCCGCGGAAGTCAACGATCCCGTGTTTCAAGCAGATGTTCTCGTAGTCCTTCCTGTCGGCGTTTAGCAGCAGCTGCCAGACCTGGTCCATGTCGACTTCCTTCTTCTGCAGCGGCGTCCTACGGCCCAGGGAGTGGGAGCTCAGAGAGGCCCCCGCGAGCACGGACGTGCTCCTCTCCCGGTCCTCAGCCCTGCCCTGCCATAGCCACCCACAGATGACCGACAGGAGGGGACTCTGACACATTCATGCTGCTCCTTAACCGGCCAGAGGGTCTCCAGGCCCTTTTCAGGCATTTCCCCAATAAGTTCAGTGGGGGCGAAAATGTGGGAGCAGAGAGGCAGAGATCTCACGGATGGCAAACGCCCGACAGCCTGAGAAACACAGCCCTGCGGAGCGGAAATCCCGAGCCGCAGCCCAGCAGCAGACACCTGCCACGTGCACAGACGCCGACAGCGTGGCCTGGACTGTCTGCGAGGGGCGGGAGGCCACCCCACCCTGCAGGCAAAACAAGCATCGCTGATGGCACTGGGCCCGCCCACAGGCCACTCACCGCTTCCTTAGCATCTTCCTGAAGTCCTGCAGCTCTTTCTTCAGGTCTGTCAGAAAGAGAGATGGCAGGATGTGACCACGGAGCCACGCCGGGGGGGGTCACGCTGCAGGGTGCGAACACGGAGACATGCTGGGGGGGTTATGCCGCAGGGCAAGACCGCAGAGCCATGCTGGGGGGATCACGCCACAGGGCATGACCACGGAGCCACGCCGGGGAGGTCACACTGCAGGGTGTGACCACAGAGCCACGCTGGGGGGGTCACACCACAGGGCACAACTGCGGAGCCACGTTGGGGGGGATCACGCCACAGGGCACGACTGCAGAGCCACTCCGGGGAGGTCACACTGCAGGGTGCGACCACGGAGCCAGGCTGGGGGGTCACACCGCAGGGCACAACTGTGGAGCCACGCTAGGGGGGGTCATGTCACAGGGTACGACTGCGGAGCCATGCTGGGGGCTCACACTGCAGGATGCGACCGCAGAACCACGTCGAGGGGATCACACTGCAGGGCACAAACGCGCAGTCACGCCAGGGGGTTACCCCGCAGGGCGCGAACATAGAGCCACGCCAAGGGGGTCACGCCACAGGGCACGACCACTGAGCCATGCCAAGGGGGTCACGCCGCAGGGCACGACCACTGAGCCACGCTGGGGGGGTCACACCACAGGGCACGACCACGGAGCCACGTCGGGGGGTCACGCCGCAGGGCGTGACTGCAGTGCCCGAGAGCTTTAGAGAAGCCAAGGCCCCATGATGCAAAGTGGCCACCAGTGTCAGGATGCCTCCGTTACAAGGTGCCCGAATTGAAACGTCGTTGGTCACTTCTGGAAACGTGCCTGGAAATGCACGGCTGTAGTGCCAGGATGAGCTGCGGTTTGATTTGTCCCAGTGCAGCGTTTAGGGGACAGGCCTGTTCTCCTCTCACCTTTCCCGCTGGCCAGCCCCCCTGGGAGGCACGGCAGCCCCTTGATTTCCCAACCACCACAACAACTCCTGTCAACCAGTTTTTCCCAAGGGTCCGTGACCTGCGCCTGATCAAAGCGACCCTCTGCCGACACAAGCGTTATTTGTTCACCAGCCGAGATCAAAGGGCCCCTCCCACGGGTCTTCCCTAAACCGTTTTCTTTCTGTGTACGATCTGGGGGAGTCCCACGCAGCTCGGACACCTTTCCTGAGCCAGAGAGAAACCCCTGCAGCCTTCTCTGTCTCTCTCTGCCAAAGACCCTCTGTAGCTGTTGCTGCCGGCTCCATCCCCCTGCCTCCCCAGGCCAGGGACTAGAATTTAATACCCCTTTGAACCCCGAGGAAAATCAGCCTTCCTAGCAGAGTTGCAACCAGGGAGGCGGACGCCCCGTTCCTCTTCTCAACAGCTTCTCCGCTGTTTCTCTCTGAGGGGCCTTTTCTTTCCCTTGTTCTAGTTCTTGTTTGTTTCCCCTCCGGTCTCGTCTGACTCTGCTTGCAGCCAGGCGGCCGGCTCTCCGGCAGGCTACCTGACACACGTGCCCTTCGTAACGCAGAGAGCCCGCGTCTCCCCCATGCTTACCCTCCGGCGGCTCGGCGGGGAGGGGTCTGGCTTTTCTCTTGAAACTCGCTGACGAGTTGGGAGAGAAGGCAGAGCCAAAAGAAAAGAAAAGAAATCACCAGGTAAGAGTCGGCGTAGCAGGATTGCTAACAAGCCCTCAGAGTTATGCAGGTGCCGCTGTCCACGGGCCTAGCCCGGGAAAGTCCTGCCCTGGCTTTGTGTGCCGGATTTTATTACGTATTTGTATTACAGCAGCGCCTAGATGCTCCATCCAAGATCAGAGCCCCTCTGAGCTAGGTACATGCGGCCCACCGACGTGGCGGGGTGAGCAAAGGGGGCAGTTGTCCTGGGCCCAGCGAGTGGCAGCTGGAGCGCCATGCAGCACTCTCCAAGCAGTGCTAAAGGCTGGGTGGCATACACTCCAGGCAGTGCTGCGGGCTGGCTATCCTCAGCCCCGCCCCTTCTGCCCTTAGCCTCGCCCCTTCCGTGAGCATGGGGTGCCCCCTTCCCCATTGCCTGGGAACCCGCAGAGGCTGAGAGCTCCGCTGTGTACATACACTCAGGAAGAGGCTAACCCTGCCCCAAAGGCCTTATAGTCTAAATTGATAAAGGAAATATTACCAGCCCCATTTTACAGATGGGAAACTGAGGCCCGAAGAGACTCAACGACTTGCCCAGCTTCACACAGGAAGATTCAGCAAAGCCAGACACTGAACTTGGAGCTTTTAAGTCTCAGGCCAGTACAAAAGCCACGGGTGTCATTACAGGTGGCTCCTCTCCGTCCCCAAAGGAAGGAGGAGTGGCTGCGGAAATCCAGCCTCCTGTGTGTACAGCGAGCGGTTCCCAACCAACAGTCCACAGACCGGGCCGGGCCACGAACCGCTGGCTCCCAGGCTGTGGTGGCTGCCCGCGCTGTTCACGGTGGCTCTGTTGGCCAGGGCTGGGGTACATATTTTGGTGAACTGGCAATATTTGCACGTTTGCATATTCATTATTTGCATAATGAATATGCAAATAAGATGTTACCAGTCCACTAAAAGTTTGTGAATGGGTTTGCCAGTCTGGAGAATGCAAACACTGGGAACCCCTCTCCTAGGGAAAAGGGCCCAGGCAATGCACTGAGCAGCCCTGCACAGACTGTCCCCGGTGCCAATGGAGCCGGTGGGGTGGCACACAGAACCAGCCAGCCCTACCTTGGATGACCTTGAGGCCGGCCGTGCACGCAGCTTCGCCATACTGGTTGGCAGCGGAGCAGTGGTACAAGCCGGTATCGCCCGCCGTGAGCGTGTTGATCTGCGAAAGGAGACAGCGGTGTAAGCGGGCAGCAGCCTCCCAGGAGGAATGGGGACTCCCCACTTCCAGGGGCGCCTCTCCCTAGGAACCACCCTCCATCTCCTTCCTGGTCCCAGGACATCGCTTAAAGCCTGTTTGCTTTCCTGCTGCGCGTTATTGCGGATTCCACGCCCTACGCCCTGGCCTCCATGGCCCCTCTAGAAGCTGGGCTCCTCTGGGCCAGGTACGCTCACAAAGGCCATGGTGAAGCTCCGGCAACTTGACTATCCATCACTCCTCCCAGGCATCCTAGTCTTGGCCTCTGCCCCCACCCCACTCCGCCCTCACCCCCCTGCTATTCCAGCCCTGAGCTCCTTGCACAGAGATCTATGGGTGCGTTTCGCTCCTGCGCTGCACATCTGCTGCTGCTCTGGCCCTGGGTTCCCCACGCAGCTCTGCTGATATCCACACCCACAGCCCCACGGCAAACCCAGCCGGGCTCTCTGCCGCCCCACAGCCCCCCAGCAATCCCAGCCTGGCTCTCTGCCGCCCCACAGCCCCCCGGCAATCCCAGCTGGGCTCTCTGCCTCCTCACAGCCCCCTGGCAATCCCAGCTGGGCTCTCTGCCTCCTCACAGCCCCCTGGCAATCCCAGCTGGGCTCTCTGCCTCCTCACAGCCCCCTGGCAATCCCAGCTGGGCTCTCTGCCTCCTCACAGCCCCCTGGCAATCCCAGCTGGGCTCTCTGCCTCCTCACAGCCCCCTGGCAATCCCAGCTGGGCTCTCTGCCTCCTCACAGCCCCCTGGCAATCCCAGCTGGGCTCTCTGCCTCCTCACAGCCCCCTGGCAATCCCAGCTGGGCTCTCTGCCTCCTCACAGCCCCCTGGCAATCCCAGCTGGGCTCTCTGCCTCCTCACAGCCCCCTGGCAATCCCAGCTGGGCTCTCTGCCTCCTCACAGCCCCCTGGCAATCCCAGCTGGGCTCTCTGCCTCCTCACAGCCCCCTGGCAATCCCAGCTGGGCTCTCTGCCTCCTCACAGCCCCCTGGCAATCCCAGCTGGGCTCTCTGCCTCCTCACAGCCCCCTGGCAATCCCAGCTGGGCTCTCTGCCTCCTCACAGCCCCCTGGCAATCCCAGCTGGGCTCTCTGCCTCCTCACAGCCCCCTGGCAATCCCAGCTGGGCTCTCTGCCTCCTCACAGCCCCCTGGCAATCCCAGCTGGGCTCTCTGCCTCCTCACAGCCCCCTGGCAATCCCAGCTGGGCTCTCTGCCTCCTCACAGCCCCCTGGCAATCCCAGCTGGGCTCTCTGCCTCCTCACAGCCCCCTGGCAATCCCAGCTGGGCTCTCTGCCTCCTCACAGCCCCCTGGCAATCCCAGCTGGGCTCTCTGCCTCCTCACAGCCCCCTGGCAATCCCAGCTGGGCTCTCTGCCTCCTCACAGCCCCCCGGCAATCCCAGCCGGGCTCTCTGCCGCCCCATCTCTTTCTGCGGTGCTGGGCCTGAGATGCCATCGCTGGCCCTTACCTGGAGGACATGCTCGTTTGTTGCAGCATGAAAGGACGTCTGGTATTTGTCGGGATCACGCAGCTCTCCTTTGCTGCACTTCCATATCACTGCGGGGGCCGGCTCCCCCGTCACCACAGCCCTGAACGTGGCATTTTTACCTTGCAAGGGAGGTCAGAATTGAGTCACTCCTGGGAAGAGGCAGCAGACCGGATAAAACAGAACTGAGCAGCAGCTGGCTGACTGCTTTTCAGAAAGCGGGCGTGAAAAGCGTTTTTCAGACCGGCCCACCGACCAACATAGGGTCTCCCCTGCGCTTTCATGTCTAGGCAAAAAATGCTTTTCTCCTAGAACTCGAGAAGTTTCACCGTAAAAATTCAAATTCAGATCTGGATTTCAATCACACCAACATCCCCTGGGAGAGATTCAGGCGCCGCCCAGCTGAGCAGCCATAGCCGGCAGCATGTGTCCCTACTGGTGGTGCACATCTGCACATGCCTGGGTGCACAGAACAAAATTTATTCTGCACATGGATGGAAAAAAAATTAGAGGGAACATTGGTGTGGGGTGAATGTGGGGTGCTACTTCAGCACCAGCTTGATTTTTTTTCCATCTGTTGGTAACGTTTAAAGAACATGAATGTCGTATTTTAAAAAGTTTTTTGGGGGATTGGTCCATAATCTATCAAGGATGTGGCAAATGAATATTAAGGATCCCAATTCTGATTGTACCATGCAGAGGACACACGCTCTCAGACCGGCTAATGAGTGAAGCTCTGCTATGTAGGCAGGTCTGGCAGAACCACCACCACCAGCAGCAAATAGTTTCAGGAATTCCAGTCCTCAGTGGCAGAGCGGGTCTTAGGGGTGGGCCGCGACCGCATTTCAGCCCGACCTCCCAAATCCCCCCCAGGTTTCCCTGGTTACTCCCTGACCCTATTTTTCTTTTTGCTTGACAAATTTTCCCTGGCGCCAATTGGTTAGGACCGGCCCTGGTCAGTGGATATTTACGCCCTCTTAATAGACCCTTTTTCAGGGTCCAGGTCCTATCCACAGTACACAGTTCCCTGCATTGTTGCAACATCTTGCCTGTGTGGCCTTATATGGCCTTCACCATCCCATGCCAAAGGTTCTTCACACAGCACATAGACAACCTGTGGAACTCCTTGCCAGAGGAGGCTGTGAAGGCTAGATCTATAACAGAGTTTAAAGAGAAGCTAGATACATTCACGGAGGTTAGGTCCATAAAAGGCTATTAGCCAGGGGGTAGGAATGGTGCCCCTGGCCTCTGTTTGTCAGAGGCTGGAGAAGGATGGCAGGAGACAAATCACTTGATCATTGTCTTCGGTCCACCCCCTCCGGGGCACTTGGTGCTGGCCACTGTCGGCAGACAGGCTACTGGGCTAGATGGACCTTTGGTCTGACCCAGTACGGCCGTTCTTATGACCTCATAGCCCCTGCCTTTCCCTTTCACCTGCAGACACACTAGCGACTTTTGCAATCTCCCCAGCACACCCGCGGTGAATTGCCCCAAGCGCAGACGGCAAATCCGTGACCACTAAATGCTGCTTTCCGAGGGGCCCGTTAGCAGAGCAGATGCGAAGGCAGTCGGTTGGCCTTTGGTTCCCGAGAACATTCAGCATCTTCGTTCATTGCTTGTCCAGTTTGCAGCCCAGAGATTGTTTTCTAACCAAACGTGGAAACGGTGCCCAGAAAGCAGCCCCTACCCCCCACGACAGTTTCCATGGTGCCCAAACTCCAATTTGCTGCGGGAAAAAGTTGCAGCTGAGAAATGTTAACCGGCCCGAAGCTGGGCTCTTTTTGTGGGGTCCACATGGTGTCACACGGTCCTGGGTCACGACTGGGGCCTAGGGCTGGGAGAACGTGATAAGCACATAAAGGGCAGTAGTTGTTTCTCAGGGGGTCCTGGTAAAAATGTGAGGGTAAAAATGTGGGGCAGGGATACACCACTAGAGGGCATCACCTCCCTCCATAAAGATGCGCAAGTGTCCAGAGAAAGAGGAGACAAGGGAAACCTACCTGCAAGCGCTGGGAATGTATCCCCCCTGCTCCCCCTCAGTCGCGTGGCTCCTTCATGTACGGGGCCAGCACAGAACAAAGGGAGCTGCCAACCCCTCGCTTTAATGGCAGCTTCAGCTCGATCCTGAGCTTGCGCAGGAAATGGAAATAGACCAGCTCAAGGTGCTGTTTTCTGTTGTCAGATATTTGACTCTGACCACGTAAGAACGGCCAGACTGGGTCAGACCAACAGTCCATCCAGTCCAGTGTCCTGTCTGCCCAGAGTGGCCAATGCCAGATGCCCCAGGGGGAGGGAACGCAACAGGTAATCCTCATATGATTCCTCCCCTGTCACCCACCTCCAGACAAACAGAGGCTAGACACACCATTCCTACCCATCCTGGCTAATAGCCCTGGATGGACCTAACCTCCATGAAACTATCTAGCTCTTTTTTGAACCCTGTTAAAATCCTATTCTTCACAACATCCTCTGGCAAGGAGTTCCACAGGTTGACTGTGCGCTGAGTGAAGAAAAACTTCCTTTTGTTTGTTTTAAACCTGCAGCTTATTAATTTCATTTGGTGACCCCTAGTTCTTATATTGTGGGAACAAGTAAATAACTTTTCCTTGTTCACTTTCTCCACACCAGTCATGATTTTATAGACCTCTATCATATCCCCTCCTCTTTTCTAAGCTGAAAAGTCTCAGTCTTTTTAATCCCTCTTCATATGGGACCCGTTCCAAACCCCTCGTCATTTTTGTTGCCCTTTTCTGAACCTTTTCCAATGCCAATATATCCACGGCGACAGATCAACCTGCTGTAGAGTCCAGATGGCTCTGAGTATACCCGATGGGCTAGATGCTGATCTGACTTGCACTGAAGCAGTAAGTCCACTGCCCTCAAGGGAGTTACTCCAGACTCACACCGATGTGAGTTACTCCAGACTCACAGACTCACACAGACTCACACACAGCCTTGGCTGCACAAGAAAATTGTGTGGAACTAACAGGGTCCAAATGGACGACTTAATCGGTTGTTTTCTCAGGCCTGCAAGGCGGGGGATCAGGAATCCGGCTCTGTGAGATGAACTGTTTCTTACGAGAGTCTCACCTTCCTGGAGGGTGATGGTGACAGGCTTCCGTACAAAGTCAGGCGTGCTACAGCCTTTCGGAACAACGTCAATGAACTGCTGGATGGTCACCCCGGGGACGGCTGATTTCTTACGGGGCTTCCCTGGTGAAAAAAGAAATGAACATGAACTCAAGCTGCATTGTGAACTCTTCAGGACAGGGAAGGCCTCTTGCTATACGGTGCCCCACAGAATTCCTTAAGGGCTGGGGGTTCAGCTCAGAGATGTGAATTTGATGTGTTGTAAACACCGGGGCCAGGAGGCTAGGCTAGGCATAAGGGTTTTGCACAAGCGTGCAGCTCCTCAGAGACCAGCAATCGCGCCTAACCAGCCTTTCGGCCCTCGCCAGGCCTGGGGTGACTCTACCAAATTCCATGCGCCGATCAGCTGGGGGGTGACTCTTGGGGAGGATCGTGGCCGAGATGCACAACACCCATTAGACCCGGGCGTCCCTCCCATTGCAGTGGCAAAAGACAGTGCCCTGACAGAGGCCACGTCACACAGTAAGAATGAACAGCTGGCTCCTTTCTGAGGAAGATGGCAGGCTGCGCTCACAGTATCCTGGTCTGCTGCTCTCTCTCACCTGCCCTGTGGCTTTCCATTGCCTGGCTAGAGACAGCACCGCTGCTTCCTGGATTCTCCTGCGGAACAGAAGACAGTGGTATGGCTTGGGGAGGTTCCTAATGTTGGGGGTGTGTGTGTGAAAAGAACGAATGCCTAGAAGCTATTTGAAAACTTGTCCTTAGTTGCTGGCATTGGTTTGCCCCAGCCGCAGCTACCAGAGCGCAGCACTCCAGAGGAGAAAGCCTAGCTCATTAGCTCACTTCTACCACTGAGTCCTCAAAGAACTGCCTCCCCTACTGCGGAGGCATCAGATTCCACCTTCGCCACCCCGGCTCCTTTCATTGGGGCTCAGAGGCTCTGGCTGACGGAACAAAGCAGCCAGCAGGACTAACCCGGATTGTCTGCTTGCACACATAACATCCACTATGCATCTTCTGTCTTCATGCTTGCCTGGTTCCTGCCCCAGCTGCTGCCTCCGGTGAAAGATCGGGGCACATTTGATCTAAAGAAATGAGGCTTGACAGGGACACTGATACCAGTCTGGAAAGGCTGTTCCAAAGAGGACAGTGTTCTATTGTCTTCCATAGCCATGGAAAGTACAACTGGTTAGTTTGCAGCAAGAGGGATTCACAGTAGACATGAGGGGAAACTTTCTAACTCTTACGTGCTGGAAAGACCATCCAGGGAAGCTGTGAAATCTCTGCTAGAGGAGGTTTTTAAGAACAAGTTGGACAAACACCTCTCGGGGAAGCTCTGGGCTTACTTGGTCCTACCACAGGGCAAGGGAATAGACTAGATCTCCTACACGTCCATGATCCCCTGTGGGTCTCACAGCTTCATCGGGAAGAACAGCTTAGCTGGGCTAGTGAAAAGCGTGGGGGGTGACTACATTTAATTGTGAAACCACAACAAATGATCGGGGTTGGCGTTGGACCTTCCCCCAAGCATCCTTCCTCCCGCTGTGTTAGTCTGAAGCTGTAACCATAAATGGGAGGCGAAGAGTGCTGAGGAACAGCCGCCTTCCTTCATGGGGCACCAGAACCCAGCTTGCACCAGAAATGCCACCTGCACGCTGGGCGTTTAGCGTCCAGCTTGCCGAGCGGCTCCCACTGGAGTCAGTGCCAAAGCTCCCTGTGGGAACAGGTATGAATCCTAAAGCCACGGTGAGCAGACGTCTCGTTTTTAAAGGGACAGGCCCATATTTAACCCCCCTGCTCATGTCCCTTAAAAAAAGGGGGGGGAAATTGTCCCCTATTTTCCATCTTTCTCCACCCATCAGGACTGGTGGGTCCTAGTGCTGGCTGGATCCCTGCTCGCCAGCCGCCCGCCCGCCAGCTCCCCCCGGCCCTGTTTCCAGCCGGCACCGGCTGCTGGTGGTAGTGGCTGGTGAATGCAGGTTACGTCACCTCTGCTGCCCACCTGTCGGTCCTCTCCCTGTCCTCTCCCTGCTGTTCTTTCACATCCCCCGGCAGAGTGCATCCCACTCCCGGCGCTGTACGGAGAGCCAGCCCTGGTGGGATCCCCCCCAGCCTGGCCTGGCTGCTTCCTCCCGCTGCTGGGCTGGCCCCCAAGGGAAGCTTGGCTCCTTGCTCAGCTGGTGCCTGGCACCTTCTTCACCTACTGCCCCTGCCCCAAGGAGTGCAGGGCTGCTCTGCTCCCTAAGCCCCCCTCTCTGGCCGGCTTGGCTGCAGCCAGGTTCCCTGGGCCCTGGCACTCAAGGCATCCTTAGGGCTAACCCCGGCTGGGTGACGCTGGTGGCCAGCAGCAGCCTGGGGGTGCAAGCAGCCTTCCTGCACTGCGAGGGCAGGAAGGGACAAGCGGCTCCCAGCCACAAGAGAGCTGGGGGAGGGGGAGGAGAGATGTCCTCTGCAGAAACATGGGCCAGACCATCTCTGCCCCACCCCTCTTCGGCGGGAGGCAGCTCCCTGCGTAGGGCTGAGGGGCTGCTGCTGGCCGTCTTCTGGCACCCAGCTATCCCGAGTAGTCCTCAGAGGTGCCAGCATCCGGCCGTGGCTTTACCAGAGTTCTCAGGGAGTGGGGAGACAGCATCTTCTGCCGACGGGATGGTCATTTAAAACCCTGCGAGAGCCTGACCTTCTTCCATTTCACAGCTCGCTCTGCACCCCCGCCACGCCAGCCCTGTTAACCCCTGCGGGCCGGCGCCGGGGGCCACATGCCACCGAAATGCCACAAAATGTCAGGGCGGTGCCTGGTGCATTCAGCAGCGGTCAGGGGTTGAATTGAGGAGAGGAGAGAAGCCCCCCCCCTCCCCCGCCCAGGGAGAAGGGAGTGAAAGTGGACAAGGGAAAACAACTGACCCAAGAGAGCGTCGCAGCCCCGCCCCCCCTTCGCCCAGGATTAAATTTAATGGAGTGTTTACTGGGGGGAGATTCCTCTGGGGTGAGCCAGTTAGCCTTTAGCTCCTTGCCTGGGGCAGGCCAGACCTGACTCCTCCCAGCACGTTCCGACAGCATCCCGGCCGAGAGGGCTGCTTGGGGTGATGCACCGGGGCTAGGCCTGGACCGTTGCACAAGGCTCACGGCCCCTTCACCTGATTGGCTCTCACGCCCTCCTGCCTTAACGGAGCTTGTGCTCATTGGGCGGTTCGCTTGATGTCTGCCGTGCCAGCTATCTGCACGGGGCTGGGGCAGCACACAAGGGAAACACACGTGCAGCCAGCATCTCGCAGCACTTGGTACGAGGAGGTTAGCATCAGGCCTAGCGAGTGCACGGAGCAACAGGTCTCAAGCTGCCCCTGCCCATCCTATGACATATAAACTCCCCGTCCAACACTAGTTTGTTTTCATCCATGACTGACTGGAGATGGAGATCAACTTCATTCATGCTTTAGATGGGGCACTGGCTGCTTCTAAATCTGACCTCATAACCCTGCCCTGTGAATCCTGCCCTTTGACTAACATTCAGCCCCCCGACTGCTCTTGCCTGGTGGAGCCAGCTGGCCAGGGCTGGATCATGCTTACTCTTGCCTTCCTTAACATGGTCTCATCAGCCATGTAATTAATGAAACTCTGACCATTGTCAGAGCCCCCCCTCCTGTTCCACCCAGACATGGTAAAGAAAATGATATTTTAACCCCCTCCCAGTTGTACATTTATTTGGCATGACGAGTGCCCCCAGCCCTGCCGGTCCCATATGGCCCTATATGGTCCTTGCTCTTTGTCAGATGTTTTCTCACTCTAGCTAAAATTAACATAGGGGCAACCTGCCTGCTCTGTGTGCCCTACTGCCAGGCACCAACGGGGTTCACACAACACTGCTGTTTCTATTAAAATACAGCATCACGTCCCGGGACAACAAGCCATTGCCGATTTCAGGAACTGGGCTTTTCACCATATTTTCCCCATGCTTTCACAGAAACTCTTAGAACATCCCTGACCCGCCACCTAGGTACCATATTAAAGCTACCCCGGCCAAGGTTTCTTTCCCAACAGAAAAACATGCAGTGAAGTCCTTGTCTCAAACACACCCCACCATGCTCAGAGTCTGTGGCAAACAAGTGTCCCAGAAAACTGCCCAGATCCCACAATCTACAAAGTCACCTTTTGTGGTGTTTGTTATTTTCTACATCTTTCTAGGGCTGCCTTGACTGGACTTAGTGCGAGACAGCTATGGACAGAAAAGTGCCACAAAAATCTAGTCCCTGGGATTTCATGTCCCACTCCTTCTGCCATTTGTATTTCACCAGCAAAGTCCCTCTTTAGCCAGCTTTCGAAGGCTGTGTCTACACAGCAGCATTATTTTGGATTAACTGACATTAGTCTGCGTCTACACGGCAAGCAGTTATTTCAACATCATGTCCAAGAACTGTCGGGCTGGAGGACTTCTTCCTCCAACTCCTGTATCCCTCTTTGCACGAGGAGTAAGAGAAGTTGGAGGATGAATGCTCTGCCATGATCTTTCTGCTGCGCAGACCGCGCGAAGAGCCGAAATAAGCTGTTTCGACTTCAGCTGCGCAATTGACGAAGCTTACGTGGCGTCGCTTATTTCGGCTTTAGCCCCGCGGTGTAGATGTGCCCTGCCCCAAAGTCAGACCTTTACCTAACCCAGCAGGTTAGAAACATAAATAACAAGCCAGGACGTCACTCCCAGCCACATGCCCGTTGTCCCTGGCTTTCACCCTAGACCCCTGCAGACTTGGTGGCTGCACGAAGGGGTAGAAAGAGTCCATGAATTTTCCTCCTTGGCGTGAACAGCAGAAGCGACCACCAGTTATCTTCCACAAATATCTCGGCTTGGTTGTGCCTGCCACTTGTACACAGTCATGTTCCTCGCCTGCACCAGGTGCTTCGGACTTACCTGCGGATGGGTCTTGCCTCCCGGGATGCCGTCTATGCTCAGTGACGAATGGCTGCTGCTCGCTTTCTCTCACTGACCGGGTCTCCCTCTTGCCCTATGGCTTCGGGAGGTGACAGCCTGTGACAAATCCAAACAATCCGCACAGGCGCCCGTCTCCTGGTGATTAGTTCAGTAGTCACCAGTGACCATCCACCATTGGTCCCTCCCTGCCTGGCCCTTCCAGCCTGTCCTGCCTGTCCCCTCCCCTCTGGGAGTCTCTTGGTTCTGCTTCAAACGCTGCCCTCCCAGGGAATAGCTTTGGGTTGCCTGTCCCAGGAGCCCCCAAGGGCTCCTCCCTTCTCCAGGGAGGGAGGGACTGTGGACTCCCCCAGCTGCTCCTTTCTGCTGGGCTTCCCCCATGGGGATGGCTCGGCCGCCTGATTCCTCATCATGGGGCCCTGTGGGTTAATTAGCCCCCTTCTCGCTCAGCCGTAACCTCCCGTGTGGGGCGAACGTCCCATCAGAGGGGCGCAGGCGTGCTGGAACTCAGCCAGCCCCCGATTCTGGACAGCAGCCCCCAGCCTGCCTAGCTAGAGGCTGGAGAAATTGCTACGTGTTGCTGCAATAAAGCAGCAGCCCCAGATTCCCCTCGGCTGCCATCCTGCCCCCCCAAGTGGGGGAGAGACCTGGAGGGAAAACGTTGTTGAAAGCGGAGGGTACCTGTGCTCCTGCCCCATGCGCCCCCAAAGTGCATCTCCCCACACCCTTGTCTTCAGCAGGGCTGCCAGTGGGGGGACTTTAAAGAGTGCAGAGCTCCACAGCAGTGGCGGCACCTAGAGCCAAGCCCTTTAAATAGCCGCTGGAGCACAATGAAGCGAGCTCCCGGCAGCTCAGGGCTGGGTGCTCTGGACCCTCCCCTTCTGCCTGAGGCCCTGCCCCTTCCGGGAGCACAGAGCGAAGCCCCTCCCACCTGCACTGCAGCCCGGCGTAGTTGTCAGCTTCCCTGGTCTTCAGCTACCGCACAGCTGCAGTTCTTGCTGCAGCACACCCCGGGCTAGCAATCCTACGTGTGTAGCACGGTAATGCACTATTACACCACCTGTGTTTAGTATTAGTGGTCCGGGTGATCACTGGCATCGAATTTTATTTGTAATGCTATTTTGACACATTTGATTTAGTTTTCTTCTCCCTGTATTTTGCCCCTGCAAAATCTTTCCTGTCCACGTTTCTGGCATATCCTAATTTCAAAGCTATCCAATTGGCACGGGCCAGATTACACTCCCCCAGACTTTCAAACCAGCAATAACAAAGAAGCTACAATCGTTTGAATAATGTTGTTACGGAAGAATTCTGAACACATCATGGATAGGCCACATCCTCGGCAAAAGAGTATTGGACGTGACCAAACTCGGCAGGCGTGAGTCTGAGATCTTATGGAAAGAAAGGTTCCGCTCGTCGGGCACATTTTAAGGGCTCAGTGCTTGATGCATGTTTACAGAAACAGATGGATCTTGGACGGACAATGTGGCCTTATGGGTGGATCAAAAAGGACTATTCACCTACAAAGAAATTAGCAGAGCATTGGACAGAACCAGCTACCACGGTGGCAAACCTCTATTCGCCACATTACAGGAGCTACCTTTCTTAGAATATTTAATTGCCCAATTTCGTTTGTCATCGAAAATTCATCTCGGGTCCAGCTAATTATGGAAATGAAGCTTGCCGTTCCATAGTTGGGTCTGGGTTGAGTTTAGCAAGTAAAAAAGTGGAAGATGGCAGCCATCTTTTGCAAGAAGTCCATTCTTCGTGAGTTTCACCCGCCTCTGAGTGAAAATTTTCAGCTATGAAAAAGTACGGCCACAAATCAAAGAATCGTGGAAGACGGAGTTTGGAAGGGACTTAAAGAAGTCATCTATCCCAACCCCCTGCTCAAAACAGGGCCAGTCCCAACTCAATCACCCCAGCCAGGACTTTGTCAAGACGCCCACGGACTCTAAATATTTCTCCTTAAAAGTTAGTCTTTGCAAAGATCTACTCAACCGAAGGGGCAGGAGGATGTGTGTGCAGCGCTCACATATGCCCATATCGGGGGCCAACCACCATCTAGACTGACAAGCAGACCGGTGAGTAGCTTTAACGACTTAATTAGTGGCCCAAATATGAACCCAGGAACCTAAAGCACTTAAGTCTGAACTATTGGCACAGATGCTTCATATAGAAATGTTTCTAGGGCCGCTTTCAGCCGCAGACTAGAATTTCAGAGGCGAGGGTCTGGAAGGAATCGGATCACCCAAGAATTCACATGAAAGTCCCCTCTATGGCACAGCGACAATCCTTAGCACTTTACTGCCTCGAGTGCTGTGCTAATATTAGTGTATTAATTCCCAGCTGAAACATCTGAGCTTCTTTCCCAGCTGGCTGCCTGCCTGCTCGCTACCTGGCTTTATGTGCCTCTTCAAGTGAAGACAGACGTAAGAAACATCAGCAGAGGGGGAGCCACAATTCGGGTCAGACCTGGGCTGGAGAACAGGTGCATTAAATGCAGACAGGGGTCTGTGAATTGCCCTCTGCCAGCGGGCTGTTTCTTTGGAGTCACCTGGAACATGGATAAATCACAGAGCAGACGCTGGGGCCCAACGGCACAAGCCGATGGCAACTCCTCCTGCCTGACAGGGCGCTCCAGAGCCCGTTTCTTCAGGCAGCGGCCAGGGACAGCCTGGTGCCCTCGCCCGCTCCCAGCTCCCCAGTCAAACAGGCTCTGTCGGCCGCGTCGCTGTCCAGTTTGCAGATCAGCACTGGGATGGCCCCTGTGCTCTGGAGGACGATGTTGACGGCAGCCTGTAACTTCAGGGAGACTCCGCCGGTGGTGTCGTGCGGCAGGGAGGACGTGAGCACAGGGGGGTCCATGCTGCCGTCGGGGTGGATGGAGATGGAGCTCACCAGCCTGGCACCTGGGTGGGGAAAGAGGGTGGGCATGTAGGTCAGGCCTGGCACAGAAATGCAGAAAGAGGAGACACATGGTGGCACTGGTACTATGGCAGCCCCTCCAGAGAGCGCCTGGCACTTTCCAGCTGGCCGAACATGGAGGAGAAACAGGACCAAGGGACGTTTCACTAATGGCTTGTTTCCAGCCTTATCCCCTCAGGCGCGTTTGCGGAAGGACCTGGGCTTGGGGCCAACGTCACCAAGCGCTGGGCTCTGGGCACATACTGGCTACCAAACAGGTGCTGCTGGGGTGGCTGCCGACACGTCCGCAGGGCAGTGGAGAGTCCGACTGGCGCCCTGTGCAGACCTGACCTAGCCCCACCGGGGAACTCCCCCTTCAAGATCCAGCTGCGGCTGTCAGTCTCCAGCGCATCTCAATTCAGGTTCACCAGATGGGCAAAATGAGGCATCTTGCTCTCCAGAAATCTGTCTGGGGGGGTTTCCCTCGCCCATCACCAGTGTTCCCTCTAATCTTTTCCATCCATGTGCGGAATAAAGCGTTACATGCACAGAGGCATGTGTGAATGTGCACCACCAGTGGAAACAAAACCTAGCTGTGGGCGCTCTGACTATCTCCTGAGCACACGCTCCCAGGGAACGCTGCCCATCACTGCAGTAGATGAGTACCCTCACTACATGGAAGAAGGCTGGGACTAGCTCATCTCTGGGCAGGCTAAATTCCAAACAGGAAGACACGATATTGCATCTCACACCTCCCCCAGTGTCTTGGATGGGAACTGTCAGGAAGGCCACATCCTCATAGACTCATAGACTTTAGGGTCAGAAAGGACAATTATGATCATCTAGTCTGACCCCCTGCACAATGCAGGCCACAGAATCTCACCCACCCACTGCTAGAATAATCCTCTCACCTATATCTCAGATATTGAAGTCCTCATTTGATGTTTTAAAGACCCCAAGATGCAGAGAATCCTCCCGCAAGTGACCCGTACCCCATGCTACAGAGGAAGGCGAAAAACCTCCAGGGCCTCTGCCAATCTACCCTGGAGGAAAATTCCTTCCCAACCCCAAATATGATCCTCAGCTGGCATTAACTGCAGCAGCTCCATTGAAATCACCAGGGTGCTGTGGACGTGCACCGTCAAAAAGCCTGGCCCGTAAGCACAGGAGCTGGGCCACAGCAGACATATTTACAATAGAGTATAGCCATAGCCAGCCAGCAAGGAGATGAAATGGAGGGGCTCCAACAAGAGACGACGACAGGCTTAGGACACATTGGCAATCCAAGGCTGTACGTTAGAGGAACAGACCTGAGGACGTCCTAGTTACTTAACCCCCAAAGGGCGAGGTTATGCAGCTCCCTTTGCTTAGCAAGCCTTCCAGCACCAGCGGCTCTCCGGGTGCCCCATTCTGCAACCATCTCCAGGCTGTCACCCCCGAAAGATTCTCTTCTGTGAGATTCACGTGCGAGAGCGTGGGGACCCTACCCGATGCGAGGGAGGGCCCAGATGGGCGAAGCAACGGGGCATTGGTCTGAGAGCTCAGCACGTGCACATAGTCACACACAGCAAAGACTCTGTCGGCCGTGTCGCTGTCCAGATTTGAAACCCTCGACCCAAAACACCACTATGGAACCCGATACTGGCTGAGCAGCCAAGTTTTGCAATGGGCCAAAGAGCAGGCTCAGGTCTTAAATGCCCTTTGTCTTAGGGGTACAAAACCAGCGACAATTTTCCAGTGTGAGCTCCCTTCTACCTACGCTAGCAATTCATGCACTCGATGCCGAACGGTGCTTGGTGACTATTAACAGGGATAGATTGTGGCTCATTTTCATCAGGTGACCTCTGGCTATGTCCAGTGCGGTCCATGACTGGTGCTAAGGGAATACAAATCAATAACAATACACTTCAGGTCTGATGCTTCTTTGCTTTGCACTTTATGCTTCATTTACATTTAATCAAGGCGGGTGGTAGCATTTCCTACCCTCTCTGCACAGGTGTAAACTGCTTGCACACCGGAGCAGCTATTACCTCACTCACTTTGGCTCTTGGGGTGTGTCTAGACTACAGGGTTTTGTCGACAAAACTCTACCTGCGTCTACACTGCCGCTGAGTTCTGTCGGCATAACGTTGACAGAACTCGGCAGTTTTCTTGACGGTGGTAAACCTCATTTTACGAGGAATAACGCCTTCTGTCGACAGAGTTCTGTCCTCAGAAGACATTATTGCATCTACACTGTCTTTTGCATCTACAATGTTATGTTGACAAAGCGGCTTGCTTTGACGACAGAACTGGATGTAGTCTAGACGCGCTTTGTCGACAGAAGCTTTGACGACAGTATCTGTCGACAAAACTTCTGTCGACAAAAGCCCGTAGACTAGTATCCTGGGACCGACACTGTTCAGAGGCAATTAAACAGGCTGTTTTTATGAGCCTGCACAATGCACGTTAATCAGTGCACCTGAGATGTGACAGAGCCCTCCGGCTCCTTCTCTCTCGCACCATTCAGCCAACACCAGCAGCATCCCCTGACATGCCAGTCCTGGGCCCCTAAACAGCTCTCCTGTTTGGAACCCCTCAAATCCAATTTGTAGCCCTCACCCTCTTCCATCCCTGCATTCATTTGGCCAGACAGAAGCCACCCAGCTGTACTTGTGCGATAAAGTCTCAACGGTCCCAGAGAGATTCCGCTGAGACGACAAAACTCGTGTCACTTGTGAGCGACGCCAGGATAAAATACCGACATGACGGCGAGTGTATCAACCCCCAGAACCCGACAAAACCATGAACTGAGCTGGGGGGAAGGGCAGGAGCTGAATCCATTTTTAATTCTCAAGCCTTACACCATACCTGGGGTATCAGGCGGCCGATCGTAGATTCCATCAACATCGGTGAGGAAAACAACTCGCCGGGGGGAGAATTCCCTGGACAGAACCTGCAAAATTAAACAGCTGAGCCACAGAGACTCTATAGCAGCAGGTTCCCTTGAATCTCAGGGACGGCTCCCAGGTCCGTCTCTTGTGGGTGTTCTTCCCACTGCTGCCTCTGCTGGGTCTACACCACCACCTCTCCCAGCCTTGGCCTCCTCCCCATGACCCTGAGCACGGTCAGAATCCAAAGGCTCCATCCAGCCCCAACCACGTGGAGGTAAGGAGACAGGCGGACGGCCCAGACCGGGCACCACTGCGTTAGGTCACAAGCGCCTTCAGTCAGGAGAACCCCCCCTTGGAGCTTCTGCAGGACCTGGGCCTGTTCCCAGGACACTAACAAAGTGTGGGAGGGGGGCGTCTAGTCACCTGTCAGCAGTGCGCACAAAGACATCGCCATTCCCAGGAGATTCCCCTGTGGACTCACGGGCTCTCCCAGGGACTCCCCGCCTGTCACAGCGCCCCCTCCCCCGGGGAGCGGAGATCCTACCTCGACGATGGTGTCCCCGGATAAGATGCAGCAGTGCTGTTCGGAGTCCGGGGCACAGTCCCCGTGCACCACCGGGACGTAGCCAACATCCAGGGCATCCCTAATGGCAGCAATGCCAGCTTGGCTAACCTTCCGGCCTGCTGTCGCCAGGCTCCAAAGGGCTGCAGGACGGACCAATGACTTATGTTGACCCCTGCCGTGATCTAATACCATCCCCCAGCTGTGTGCGTCTCTCCTCCCACCCCCGCCG